GATTACCTGATTGGGATTGCAAATATTCTGTGTACCACTAGATGGCAACAAGGAGCTGATGTTCTGCACCATTTATATGGTGGAGCAAGTGGAGAGATGGGCTATCAAGATGATGAAAGAAAGTTTAAAAGACCTGGAGATATTTAGCTTGCAGAAGAGAATGTTGAGAAGGGACATGAGAGCTGTCTTCATATACCTGAGGGGCTTCATGCTGCAGTAGGTTGGACTTGCTCCAGATGGTAAAACTGGAAAAAATGTTGTGGGATGAAACCTCAAGGCTGTAGACACAGATTACACGCAAAGAATTTCTTGATTGTCTATCATGGAATGTTTTCTTTCTACTTCACTAGAGGTTTTCAGAGGCTGGATGGAGATAGTGCAGGGAATCCTGCAGTGTGCAAGGACTTAGACTTGATGACCTCTAAGGTCCCTTCCAACTCTATGATATCTACTGATCATCTGAATTTTTGCAGCCCAGATCTGGCTGTCATCATGAAGGTCTTATTTCTTGCCATGCATGCAGATACAGATTTCCCTGCCGAAAACTTTGAAACTTTAGTTAAAATGTGCTGGACTTGTTTGTACATTACAGCAGGGGTCTTCAAATTTGATCCTGGGAGTTGAAGTCCACAAGTCATAAAAGGGCCAAGTTTGAAGACTGGCTGAGGAATTCTGGGAGTTGAAGTCCACAAGTCATAAAATGGCCAAGTTTGAAGACCCTGCATTACAGTAATTAAAAATGTGGCTTGTTTGATTTTAACTCAAGTATTCATTGAGATTTGTGGACTATAACAGGGGTGTCAAACTGGCGGCCCATGGGCTGGATACGTCATGTGCAGGCCATACCCACCTGACTCACGTCATGTGATGTGATCAAGTTTGACTCCCGTGGACTATAATCTATGGCTTACATTGTAATGAACTAGTTAGCCAATTGCAGATTGAAAAAGTTTAATAAGTAGATATAAGCCAGAGTTAAGTAAATTATGCTTAGCGCAGTCTGTAAATCCAGTCATCTGACAATATAATTTGACTCATTTAATATCCATAATTGCATGCTGCATTTGTTGAAAAATCTAGATTACATTAAAATGCAGCTAGGCAGTTTGTGATTCAGCATGTTGTGAGAATTTAGTCTTTGTTTGTTTGTTTTTGCAAGTTGTGTATATTGTGTTATGGTTTCTTTATTTGAGCCCAGCCCGAAAAACAGTGATTGTTTTATTCAACTGAGTTGTAGGTTTGGTATGCTGTGGCAAATCAGCTGATGTACAGTATGTGTGTGTGTTTGTGCAGACAGCGAGCTAGAAGGCAAATGTAAGAAGCTGTAGTGTGACCTTTGTAACCCAAGTCCAAATGTACATTATCACTTGGCCCAATTGTAATATTTAAAATCTATCTGCAGGTTCCAAATAAAAATTCTACATTTTCTTCTGCTGCTCTCTCTGCCTTACAACTTAAATACATGCTATGTTTTAGGAAGGCTACATTTTCTTTCTTTTTTTCTTTTTTTTTGTGATTTCATGTCCACAGTCCTAGTGCAAACTGAAACCTATCTTGTCTCCAGCAGGATCTAATTTTTCCATGCAGTCTTAGGTTTACTGAGAAGTCACCCCAATTGAATTCAGTGAGAATTACCTGGGGATAAATATGCACAAAACTGCAGCCTGACACTATCTGTTTCCTGTCTCTGGATGGCCAGGAACTAGTTCCTAGATTTTGCCCTTGGAATTTCAGCTTGGCTTCCCTCAGTCTCTCCTTCTTTTAACCAGTTCAAAACACACACACACACACACACACACACACACACACACACAGGAACAGCCTGTTCCCTAGTAATCTGCAAACTTTCTCAATACTTGAAATAAAAAGTGGGACCTTGCTAAGACACTTTAGATCAGGGTGTCCAACCTTTTGGCTTACCTGGGCAGCACTGAGTGAAGAGGAATTATCTTGGGCTGCCTATAAAATATATATAATGCAGCTAATGTATTTAAATGCACATAATGTTAAGTTTATGATCTTGTGTGACCGCATTACTAGCTGTCCAGGGCTGCAGATGACCTGGATGTGCCTGTTTTAGATGCTCCTCATAGGAGATTTGTTTGGCCCAAACTGGGCTCTTCCGGTTAGAGCAGTGTTTCCCAACTTGACAATTTTAAGGCATGTGGACTTCAACTCCCAGAATTCCACAGCCAGCATTGCTGGCTGTGGAATTCTGGGAGTTGAAGTCCACATGCCTTAAAAGTGTCAAGTTTGGGAAACACTGGGTTAGAGCAACAATTGGTATATAGGTATTCCTCGACTTACGACTGCAATCCAGCCCCAAATTTCCATTGCTAAGCAAGACGGTTGTTAAGTGAATTTTACCTTATTTTACATCCTCTCTTGCCACAGTTGTTAAGTGAATCTTTGCAGTTGTTAAGTTAGTCACATGGATCTTAAGTGAATCTGGCTTCCCCATTGATGTTGCTTGTCAGGTCGCAAAACGTTATCACATGACCCTGGTTCATTGCAACCATTATAAATACATTTCAATCAGAACAGAGCTGGAAGGGACCTTGGAGGTCTTCTAGTCCAACCCCCTGCTCAAGCAGGAGAACCTACACCTTTTCAGACAAGTGGCTGTCCAGTCTCTTCTGAAAAACCTCCAATGATGAAGCACTCACAACTTCTAGAGGCAGGTTGTTCCACTGATTAATTGTCCTCACTGTTAGGAAGCTTCTCCTTAATTCCAGGTTGCTTCTCTCCTTGATTAGTTTCCATCCATTGTTTCTTGTCTTGCCCTCTGATGCTTTGGAAAATAAGTTGAACCCCCTCTTCTTTGTGGTTGCCCCTCAAATACTGGAATGCTGCTATCATGTTCCCCTTAGTCCTTCTTTTCTCTAGATTAGGCCATTCCTAGTTCCTGCAACCGTTCTTCGTACGTTTTTGTCTCCAGGCTCTTAATGTTATCTTGCTTGCTCTTCTTTGCACTTTTCCCCAAAGTCTCAATATCTTTTTTTGTAATATGGTGACCAAAACTGGATGCAGGTGTGGCCTCACTAAGGCTTTATAAAGCGGTACTAATACTTCATGTGATTTTGATTCCATGCCCCTGTTTTTATACAACCAAAGATTGCATGTAACATGTCAGTTGCCAAACAGCCAAATTCTGATCATGTGACCATGGGGATGTTGCAATGTTTATTAAGTGTGAAAAATGGCCATAAGTCACTTTTTTCAGTGCCGTAACAGTCACTTGCATATAGGTCGCTTGCATATAGGTACAGGACAGTGATGGTGAACCTTTTAGAGCAGTGGTTCTCAACCTGTGGGTCGGGACCCCATTTGGGGTCGAACGACCATTTCACAGGGGTCGCCAAACAAGGCTGTCCGCCATTTTTTCCCCTTTTCTTTGGCCACGCCTCTGGCACCCAGTGATGTATAAGTGGTTGGGGGTCACCACAGCATGGGCAACTGTATTATGGGGTCGCGGCATTAGAAAGGTTGAGAACCACTGTTTTAGAGACTGCCCCAAAACTGGCCCCGCCTGCTGCTGTGCCCCCGCTGCGCCCCCAGCCTGGCCCCACCTGCCTGCGGGACCACCCAATGCCTCCACGGCCCACCGCAGATTGCCCAGGTGGCCCAGCAGCACCATGGCAGCCATGCCCTCTGTCCGTGCCCCGCAGCATCATCTACATGCGATGGGGCACAAAGGCGGAGTCTTATCTCTGCTGCCATGTCCTTGGCTGCGCTGCTCTGTGCTGGCTGTGCTTGGGGGCAACTCTCCACGGGGGGGGGGCTGCTGGTGAGGATGGGGCCATGGGAGGAGGTGGGTCTGGGGTGATGGCGCACGTGCCCACAGAGAGGGCTCTGAGTGCCACTTCTGGCACTCGTGCCACAGGTTCACCACTACTGGTATAAGAGATGAGAGATGTACGTACAGAGGTGTATATACTGGTATATATTGTGTCAACCCCAATTTCATTGAGGGCCGCATCAGCATTGCAGTTGCCCTCCGGGGGGTGTGTGGCCAGGGTGGGTGTGGATGGAGTGGGTGTGGCCTACTGGGTGGGCCAGTTCTACATCGTTGGGGTCAAGGGTGCCTGTGATGGCCTGGGCAGGAGTGGGACAGATCTGAGGGTCTCTGGCCGTAGGGCGTGGGACTGGGGCAAGCGCCAAGGCATGGTGCATTTCTTCATTCCTCACAAAGGATGACCCCTCCCCAGCATGCACCCAGGTGGCGGGACACAGCAGGGGCTGGTTCCTTGATGTTTCCAGACGGCCTTGTGGAGCTAAGACTGAATGCATTTCAGCATAGATGGCCACCACAAAATTGTACATTGGCTCCCGGCCGGCCTGGGCCAGGGCCAAGGCAGCAGGGGCTGTTCCCTCACTGTTTCCAGTGGCCGCATCCAGCCCCTAGGGCCCTGTGTTTGACATGTCTGATATAGACTGTCTATGTGTATATAGACAGTACATGTGTATATAAACTTATATGTATGTATACGTGTATGTATGTGTGTATACACACACAAACATATACACACATACATATTTACTTTGGCCATGTCCTGCTTGCAAGTTCATTGGAGAAGTCGGTGATCCTAGGAATGGTTAGTGGAACAAGAAGAAGGGGCAAGCAAAGAACACGCCGGCTTGATAACCTCAACACTGATGGCAAAGCTGAACATACAACTATTGAAAGATCTGCTTGAACGGGTAGCATGGGGAGCACTTCCCTACGAAGTGGCCAAGAGTGGGACACGACAACAGCAATATAAGAGGAACGATCCCGACAGAAGGACCCGCCAACCCAGGGGAATCTCCTCCGTAACCACCACGTTAACAGCAACTTCCTGGCGTCCTCGGCGCCTCGCTCTGTCCGGCAACACCGAAGCCAAGCAGCCGAAAGCACCGATCCAACGGGGGCCAAGCCATCCCCGGCGCAAGGCGCGCTCAAGGCCCGGCGCTGGAGCCGGCCCGGCGTGGCTGGAAGCGGCTTCCTGCTCCCCCACCGCCGCCGCCGCCGCCAAGCGCGCAAGGCCGGGGCGCGCGCGGCGCCTCCCGCTGCCTGGCACCGACCGGCCAGAAGCGGAGGAGACCGGCCGACTGACTGACTGACCGACTGACCGACCGGCGGCTGGCGACTCCGAGCGCCACTTCGGGCTGGGTCTGGGCGCCGGAGCCTCCCGCCACCCTCTCTGGGCTGACCCCGGCGAAGGAGGAGCGAAGGCGGGGCGGCTCCGGAGCGCGCAAAGAAGGAGAGAGAGAGAGAGAGAGAGAGAGAGAAAAAGTTTGCCGGGAGTTTCTGCAGGCGGAGGCGAGGAGCGGGCTCCTGCGAGCATGGACGCCCTCAAATCGGCCGGGCGGGCCATCATCCGGAGCCCCAGCCTCGCCAAGCAGAGCTGGGCCAGCGGCCGGCACAAGAGTAAGTTAAGTCCCCCGGCGGGAGCCACGGAGCCTTTCGCCCGCCTCGCTGCTCAGCTCGGGGCCTTCCCCGCTCGGGGCTGGGTGGGCAGTAGACGAAAACGGAGCAGAATAGAACGACAGAGTTGGAAGGGACCTTAGAGGCCTTCTAGTCCAACCCCTTGCTGATCCTAAGCCTTTTTTCTGCAGGGAGTGGCAGTGGGGGTCGGGAAAGGAAGGGGTTTCCCCCCCCTCCCCCTTGGATGGGAAGCCGCGGGAAGATGGGAAGCCGCGGCGCGCGCTCTCCGGGAACTCTAGCGAAAGTCGCGAGGTATTTCTGCGGGGCCGCGCGCGGGAGCGCGCGCCAGAAGTAACTTTGTGTCGGCGGAACTTTTTAAAAGGCGCCCGGCGGCTCTACTGAAATAGCAACCGCGTGCGGTGTGTGTGCGTGTGGGGAGGGGTGTCTTGATTTTCTGCTGTCCGGTGTCGGTTCGGGTTCTCAGGACCCATCGGAAGAGCTCCAGCCCGGAGCGGTTGCTTAGCGTCTTCCGAGCAGAAGGGATTCGGAAAGAAGAGTTTTTGACTTCGCTTATATCGCGCTGTTTCTCAACCTTAGCAACTTTAAGACGCGCGGACTTCAACTCCCAGAATTCCCCAGCTGGCTGGGGAATTCTGGGAGTTGAAGTCCGCGCGTCTTAAAGTTGCTAAGGTTGAGAAACATTGGCTTATCGTTCTGTAACGCTCCCCCCCCCATGCTTAGGACTACAATTCCCAGAAACCCTAGCAAGTGGCCGTGCTGGCTGGTTATGCTGGGACGCCTAGTCCGAACGTGATCTGGAGAAAAAGTGGGTCTTGCTGAGTGCAAGTTTCGCAGGCTTTGCTATCGGGGCACGCCGTCTTTAAAAAGGTCTTGCAGCTGAAAAGCCCTAAGAATGCAAAAAAAGGGAAGTGTGGAAGAATAGGGCACTGTTCCCCTTCCTTCCCCGGTACATCAGCCTCCCTCTCCATTTGCAACCGATACAATTGCCTATTGCATGAGTGATGCTGCTGCAACTTCTGTTGTTTCCTTTGTTGAAATTTCTACTGATCGTTGAAGCGGGGTTTTACCCTCTTTTGCTCTCCGATAGGACTGTATACAAACATTAACCACAGTTCCTTAACACGCTGAGGTCTCTGGTTGCGTTTGTCTCTTTGGGTTGCACAGGAAATATAAAAAACTCTTTAAAGGTGAGAGATTCAAAGCCTCCTTTAGCCAGGGTGAGTAGGCCATCATTAATCCCTTAACAGGCTAGGATTCTACACAGTCTTTACCTGGAGTCTTCCAGATTTACTCCCATTTTTAACTTCCAGAACCTTGGAATCTGGGTCTTGACATCCAAAGCATAGGCTCACAAATTCCCAGTTGAAAAATAAAATAAAATTCCACCGGAGGTGATCCACATCAGTGAACATTTGATATTATGAAATCTTCCTTATCTCGCTGTACCTATTATTCCTGGTTAGCAAATTGAGGCTACCTGTTCATGAGATGCAGCTGATGGTTGGGGTGGATGGAACAGCAAGAGATATTTCTTCACTAGATTGAAATGCCACTCCAGTCAGAAGTGACTCTTAAATGGCTTACATGCTTCCAGACTGTAATAGGATTAAAAACAAAATGCAGGACAAATGTGCATTATCCAGACACCCAAGAACAACGATCACACCTATAAATGTTCATTCTCCTTGAGGGATCTGTCTTAATTGCTTTCCCCAAAATTAACAGTAGTGGCCCAACCGGATATCTGGGGAAGATACTGTTCCAGAGAAGGGAGTAGTTATGTTATTTTTTTCCTGTGGATTCTTACTATGGGCCTTGCCGTGAACTCCAACGATTGGGCTGATAAATAAGGACAATGAGATAAGCAGATGGGAACCCAGACAGCTGTGACCATCATTCAGCTGAATAGATCTAGTTCTAGTTTGAAAAGAGCAGGCTCCACTAATCAGAATGATGTAATTTGGACTCTTCTATTTATAAAACACCATCACCATCCGCTGTTGCCCTTCTTTTCATGTATGACATATCATCAATATCTAACACAGTGGTTCTCAACCTTTTTAATGCCGCGACCCCCAACCGGTCGTAAGTCGAAGACTACTCAACCGGTCATAAGTCGAGGACTACTCAACTGGTGCAGCACCTTTTGCAGACTGGGGCTTTTGGCGGGCTCAGCAGGGCAGAGACAGCCTGGACAATTCCTATTGGCTTTTGAAAACCAATAGAATTAGACTGTATTCAAGAGAGTCTATTCTATTGGCTTTCAAAAGCCAATAGAATAAAAGGGAGTAGCACAGCTAAGGAAAAGGGGGAAAAAATGGCGGACTGCGTTGTTTGGTGACCCCCGTGAAATGGTCGTTCGACCTCAAATGGGGTCCCGACCCACAGGTTGAGAACCACTGATCTAACAAGAGGTGACTTCTTGTAACTCTTGAGGATGCAGAGAACAATGGACCATTACTCCAAAAATGTCCTGCAAATCTGAGGGGGTTATGAGCTAATGAGGTAATTAATTGTCTTTTGTGTGGTGAAAATGGATGGAAATAATATGAATTGTCCACATTTCTTTTGGGGGAGAGGGGAATACAATGAATGTTGTTGAATAAAAGAGTAAAAGGGGTATGAAATATTTGTCTAATGCAGTGGTCTCCAAACTTGGCAACTTTAAGACTTGTGGACTTCCACTTCTGGAATTTATACTGCCTGGAGAATTCTGGGAGTTGAAGTCCACAAGTCCTAAAGTTGCCAAGATGGAGGACCTCTGGTCTGTTGTATGCAGAGTCCTCTAATGGTTTGTTAATTGTTAGTGTATTTTTTAAGTTCATTTCTTTTAGTCATGGGATGTATTTATCACCTAAATACTAGGACTCATGTTTCAAACAATAACATGTAAAAGTAAGATAATGTAGTGGACAGTAATAAAACCATTTGAGCACCAGTGATTCTATCCTGATTAAACTGTAAAGGTCTTCTGAAAAAACACACATTTTTGAAGGCTATGACAGTGGGAACCCCCTGTGCTGTGGGGGGGCAGACTATTTGAAAGGAGAGAGAACCATAGAGAGAATTGGACATCAAGTTCCCTCCCTTACATTCTTCAGGTGTCCCTTGCTTTGCAAACCAGATGGTGATTCAAGGCTTTGTCTCTTTCTTAACCTGAACTTTTTCATATCTCATATCCCCCCCCCCACACACACACAACCAGATACATTGATTCAGGTGGACAACAACCACTTTTTGGAAAAGTTATTTTTTTTCCTAAAATACCGCTGGTAGGAATCATCTTTCCATATGTTGTATTGTTTTTTGTTTTTACATAGCAAGTTATAATTAAATTTAAGTGAGCAACTCTACTGCTGTGTGTCATGTAAACACAGTCTTGAAATGATTGTAACCTATTCTCTTTCTGGAGCACAATGATTTAAATGGCCCCCTTTTTCCTCCTCCTCCTCCTTGTTTATCTCCTTTTCCTATTCTCTTCTTTCTTCCCCCTCATCCCCCAGATGAGTAGTTAAGAGTAGTATAAATAAATAATATTTATCTCCTGTCTTCTTCCTTGTTTATCTTCTCCTCCTCCTCTTCCTTCTTAAATGAAAATGAGAACCACAAATGACATACTGTTGGGCAACTGGGGGGAGGGGGGGAAACGACGACTAAATTTTAGCATTATGCATCCTGAGACACCACTCCCCCCCTCATTCATTTATAATTCAGTGTGTCATGCAAATCCAAATAGATGGATTAATTGAATAAACCATGATTAAGTTATCCCTGGGTATAGTTGCCTCAGACAGCCTGGATCAGCAAGGAAGATTGGCTTGGAGGCTGTTAATGCTTGGAAAAGGCAGAGCAGTTGATCTAAAAGGGCTCTACAAAGTTTTCACCTAGTACAGGGGTAGGCAACTTTGGCTCTTTTATGACTCGTGGACTTCAACTCCCAGAATTCCTGAGCCAGCCATGCTGAGGGGAAAGGGAGAGGTTTCCAAGCTGAGCCATGCTGGCTCAGGAATTCTGGGAGTTGAAGTCCACGAGTCATAAAGCGGCCTAGGCGTAGGCCAGAGGTAGGCAACCTTGGCTCTTTTATTGCAGCCGCGAGAGCGATTGTGGGTGCACTAAGGTACACTCATGTGTCACCTATCCTCCGCGACCTGCACTGGCTTCCTGTGGGTCTCCGGACACAATTCAAGGTGTTGGTTGTCACCTTTAAAGCCCTTCATGGCTTAGGACCAGGTTACTTACAGGACCGCATATTGCCGCATAGTTCCCAGAGACCGGTGAGGTCCCACAGATTGGGCCTCCTTCAGGTCCCGTTGGCCAGACAATGTTGGCTGGCGGGCCCTCGGGGAAGGGCCTTTTCTGTGGTGGCTCCGACATGGTGGAATCAATTCCCCCCCCCGAGATTCGAACTACTCCCACCTTGCCGGCCTTCAAGAAAGCCATTAAAACTCTCCTGTTCCGGAAGGTCTGGGGTTGATGTTCCCGGGGGGGGGGGCGGGATATGATTGGGACATGCTTTTGGAATGTACTCATTTTTATTATTATATTTATTGTTTTAATTTTGTACGCCGCCCTGAGTCCCTAGGGATTGGGCGGCATATAAATTTTATTAATAAATAAATAAATAAATAAATAACTCCCAGAATTCCTGAGCCAGCCATGCTAAGGGGAAAGGGAGAGGTTTCCAAGCTGAGCCATGCTGACTCAGGAATTCTGGGAGTTGAAGTCCACAAGTCATAAAAGAGCCAAGGTTGCCTACCCCTGACCTAGTAGTAGTTTCTGGAGCCATTGGCAATTATCAAAAGTTCTCAAAAAAAGCGAACTTCTGCATTTTAGCAGAAGTTTTGGAGCATGATGGATGACACAATGCCTACAGATTTAATAAATGTATGTTTGGTTCAGTTTAGGGGGCCAATTTCTATAGGTTATTATCAAAGCCCCTTTTTTGTCATCTGAATAGTGAAGGGGGGTTGTTTTTTTTCTGT